GAATTTACCTTAAAAAACCCAAAGGAAGAAACCCAAAGCTTCTCGAAAGGTACCATTCTTATTCGAATTCCACACGAACCATCCCGAATACCAAAAATTTCGTAATTCCTCATAAACTCTCATTTCTCCTTAATTCTCCGTAGAATTCAACTTAACAAGCCCAAAGGAAGAAACCCAAAGCTTCTCGAAAGGTACCATTCTTACTCGAATTCCACACGAACCATCCCAAATACCAAAAATTTCGTAATTCCCCGTAGACGCTAATTCCTCGTCAACTCTCCGTAGAATCCCGGTGCGATCCGGGAGAAAGACGACAACGGCCGCGCCATGGAAAGCGAGGAAGCCCGAACGGCAGAAGCGATTCGCAGGGAACCCAAAGCCAGACGAAATTATGACTCTTCCGCGGGGAGACGACCACGATTGATTTCACCTGGGCGATCTCTCTCTCTCTCTGCGCGATGAAAGACCGCGATAGGAAGCAAAAGGAGAGTGTTGCATTGACGAACGGGTTCGTTCTCCTCGTTCGATCTCTCTTCGCTCGGCCGGCGATCGGTAACGCCGCCGCCAGCTCCTGAGGATTTTCCTGAAGGACTTCCCTACCTGAGGCTATCAGGACGACGCACAGCAGCAACTCTCTTCTCCGTGTGATCATTTCGTTTCGGTTGTCACAGCCAGTGTGTATGTGTGTGTGTGTGTGTGTGTCTGTCCCGTTCCCGACCGCACGGTGTACAAGTACTCTCGAATTTCGCGCAACCGTCTGGCCACCCGGAATGATCGTTAAGCTCGAGCTGCGTTACTGCGGTTTGCCATCGGCGGTGCACTTGGCGGGTCTGGTCTCGCGGCACTGGCGGCCGGGGTTCGCCAGCAACACCTTCTGCTCATGGCTACAGACTCGGAAACCGGACGGTAGAGGAACCGTTCCTTAGCTCATTGGCTGACCACTTTCTACCACCGTCCCGGTCCGCCGAGAAATCCTGGCTTTTATCTGCGTTAGAACACGCACACCGGCCCGCGCTGAAAGTTGTACGTTTCTCATTTCATTCCCGGATGGGTCCGCATTCGATTTTTAGCTGACGATAAAAAGCTTCGTTTCTTCTGCTCCTTTTGTTCCCGCCGACTTTTTCTTCCGTTTCGTCGGCCGAACGGGCTCGGAACCGACGCCCGAAACGGGTCTAGCTTGTTGCCAGACCGTGCGTGTTTCTGCGGATTTTTGCTGCGACCGTTGCGTGCAGGATTTTTGAGTCGGGGCTTGTAACGGGAGACGGTTTCAGGATAATGGTTTCGATGGGATGTATGGATTTGAGATTGTATTGGATGTTGTATGAGCGTTGTGTGGGAGAGGATGTTGGTGTGGTATGGTTTGGTAGAATGGAAAAGAATTTGTTTATATAGGAGAGGATATTAATGTAATATAGTTTGATAGAATGGTAAATAACTTGTTGATGTAGGAGAAGATATTAATGTAATATAATTTGATAGAATGGTAAATAACTTGTTTATATAGGAGAGGATATTATTCTGTAAGTTGAATGTAAAAAGATAAGGGGGCAAGAAGAAAGAATGTCAAGAAGTTGAAAGACACGTTGCCAGGAAAATGGCAGGTTTCAGTTAGTTATGTATTAATTAGAGCTTTGAAAGGTTTCCAAATGAACCGAGCAATTCGTTGAATTGTAATGAACGTTTTGTTATATTGAAATTTACACATTAAGAAAAATAATTCTCTTGAATCAGAAGAATAAGTAAATAGTTTGATTGTTGAGATTAGGGGAATTATTGAATGATGTTCATAATTCAGTTTTAATCATTTGCGGTCCCCTCTTCCGTTTCTCCTTCTTCGGCGCTCTCTTTGTCTTCGTCGTCCCTTTGTTTCCTTCTTGAGAGTCAACTGTTCGCCGATGAGGAATAAAATATCCCGGTTTGCGTTCCGTTATATTGAGTTCTTGACTCACCGAATTAATTAAAGTTGCCGTTTCTTCGTCTAATAAATGTCGGCATCGGTTTGTAAAATTCAGGGACCAGCTTATCGTCTCGATCCACTTTGGATGCGCCTTCAATATACGATACGTTATTTCCGGGAAATGCTGGACAATATCCCCAAAGAGAGCTGTGTTCTCTAATACAGTGGACAATGCTGTAAACAAATTGTACATTTGATTAATTAAAGTACTAAATAATCAGTACTTTTAACTTAATCTAATACTCAGTATTTAAGTCAGTATTTTTAACTCAATCTAATGCTCAGTATTTACCTCAGTACTTTCAACTTAATATAATACTCAGTATTAATTAAAATATTCAATAATCATCGTTTCAAGTATTTAAATATATTAAATAATCATATTCATTTTATATTACCGCTTTGCACAGTAACATCCCGTGGCAGAGATCTATCATCAGGATTAAAAGCAGCGTTCTCCAACGATGATCTACTCGAATTGATCACGTTGATCATCTTCTCTCCGAACACTGTTATCATTGTATATAGAAGTTCGTACTTTTCTATTTTTTCCCAACGCCTCATGGCGTATGCATGCTCCTTGCGTTGATGGCTAAATGATTTTTTAACTAATAAAAGAAGTTAAGGTACATATCTGTATACATAAATTTGTCATTCAAACGACGAGTTGATTCGTCATTTGTGTTGGACTTAATTTTCCATTATTTATCTGTCCAATATGGTATTTAACACGTTGAATGTCATTGGGGTCACCGTGGACCCCAACCAAATTGAATTACTATAGTCCACTCAATTAAACGATTATTTGAAAATATTTGTATATAATAAATAATATTACCTAATGCAGTATTCAACGTGTCAATTAGATTGTAAATAATGGAAATTTACTGCATCTATTTTTAATTAAAATTTCAAGGGATACATAGATCTTCGTAGACTTTACTTTCAGGCGCATCACCGTTTCCCGCCATTTCGTTCATTGGCTGGACTTCCGCTGTCAAGTCGGGTAATTGCGAGTGCGCAGTGCATGTCAACACTGACACGACTACTATGTAAACCAATACGCGTGGCATCTTGGGTTGGAAAACGCTTGAAAGATAGATTCAAATAAAAAGGTACACATCGATCGAACGTAACCTTAAATCGAGGTAAGAAGGACTTTTCGAATGTAAATGGGCCTTACATCCTCCCAGAATAATTTGCGAATTTTCGACCGGCATTTAAGCCGCAAGTTTTTCGACTATTTAATCGTGACACACTGTCGCCACCTATTAACCTTTAACGTCGAATGTGTCAACTTCAGCGCAGACTTAGGTCTGTAACTTCGGTGACGTTTTGCTCGGGAATAATTAAAAAGGCTCGCTAGTTAGTCTCTAATGATGCGATGATTAAGAATGTTCGAGGCGTGATGTGTGTGTATGTTTTTAGATCATTCACTGACACCGCTCCTACGTAAGAGAAATCACGTCGGTTTGTTATGTACACGTAGTAGTAGTGGCCATTCAAAATGTGGCAGGAGTGCGTTAATTAAAGGGAGATTAATTCACGCCATGTGTATGTGGCAGTAATGTAGTTTGATATGACAATAATATATAATTATTTAAAGAGTAAGTAATATACTTCATCGCTTGGTAATTCGAGTCCTTTGGCAATGACGAACATGGCAGCGACGGGTGATACTAATCTTGATGTGAGTATATTTGAGTTTTTCTATTTTATTTTGGTTTTCACGATTATACTGCGTTGAAAGTGTCAATTCAACATTGCACCACTTTAATTTCTATACATTGTTATTTTGAAATCAGGTTTTAAAGGATTTCTATTTTAAATATTAATCTTTGTGAAAGCAATGATTGTAATGTGAATTTTTTATTTGAAGTTCAAAGTAACAATGGAGTACGCTGACCCTCAAAATGTGGAGGGTGAGATGACAGTAGGGACTAAAAAAAGTTCAAACCTGGGAGAACCTGAATTTAACACTTTAGATGAACCAATTAAAGATACAATCGTAAGTGAAGAGTTTTGTAATTATTGTAGAATTAAAAGTATTGTGGAGAAATATTGAATTAATTAGACTGTTCGTGTTCTATATAGCTCAGAGATGTTCGAGCTGTGGGTAAAAAGTTTTTTCATGTTTTGTACCCCAAAGAGAAGAAAAGCTTACTGAAAGAATGTAAGTGTACATGTTGTCAGATGGTACATATATTTAATTTTGTATGAAATGATTCATTTAATGGTACAAACTTATGGGACAACCTAATAATATTTATTAATCAATCCTGGTATGAAGCATTAGATTATAGTAGGGAAAAACTTTTCATATTTCAGGGGATCTTTGGGGACCTTTAGTATTATGCACATTTATGGCAATGTAAGTGCAATTTTTCAAATTCTCTTTTAATTATTATTTTAGAGTCTTACAATATTCCTATAATTGCTTTAGGATATTACAAGGTTCTTCTGACACAGCAGATGACTCTAATGATGGAGGACCAGAATTTGCTGAGGTTTTTGTAATTGTATGGATCGGATCTATGGTTGTTACATTAAATTCCAAGTTATTAGGGGGCAATATGTAAGCAACAATAATTACTAAAGATATAGTTTATTTCGAAGTAGCTTTAATGTCACTAGACAATAGAATTAAGAATTGAACAATTTTGACATTAATGTATCATTTGATACGTTACAGATCTTTCTTCCAAAGTATATGTGTGTTAGGATACTGCTTGCTGCCAACTGCTATAGCTCTAATTTTATGTAGAGTTATACTGATGGTAGAACAAACAACTTTCCTGTTTAGTTTAAGATTTATTATTTCCATGATTGGATTCATATGGGCAACATATGGTTAGTATAAGATTGCATGAATTTTTTGCAATCTTTATATTTTTTATCTTTTATTATACATTTTCAAATACGTTTATAAATAAATATATTTTAGCATCAATGGCATTTCTTGGCGACAGTCAACCAGTAGGAAGAAAAGCTTTAGCTGTATATCCAATATTTTTATTCTATTTTGTAATTTCATGGTTGGTGATATCTCATACTACATAAAATAAAATTCGATTCGTTTATAATAGTAAGACTGTACATTATCCAGTATTTGTGCACAAAGAAACAAAAAGATTGAAAATCAACAATAGCCTACTATATACTTTACTACTACAATATACTTTGTAATTCATAGAATTTAAGAATATATTACACTAAGTTCTCTGTAGATAAAATGGTAATGCATATATTATTTATTACTATGCATTTTAGGGAATCATCTGTTCCATTAATTTAAATTATCCAAACATAAAATTCATGAGGATATAAAACAATAATTGATTAAATATTAATCAATGATAGTAATTAAATTAGAAAAGTTTATTGGTTGAGTATTACAATTATTCCATTTATATGATCTTTTGTGATGGTTCTTTACAGTTTAAAAATTGCGTTTTAGTCTTATCAACCGAGTTTTCTACGAGTCAACATTCCTATTAAAATGCTTCATTTATTCACTAATTTGTGAAACAGATACATTTTATAAAGACATAAAAAATTTGTTTACTAGAGAGAATTCGTTTACTAAGAGAATTGAATAAGTCGCAATTTCTACTTTTACATATATGCATTATGTAAATAACATTAGCTGTAAAATTTCAATCAAACTTGAAATAAAATATATCATTTTTGTAATGTAGAAGAATTACTGTTTATTTACCTTTAAGGGACTTCACATGTGTGAAAAATATCTCTCTAACTTTTTCAGAAGAATTTTACTATCACAGTGGCCAGGATATGCTTTTAAAGATTTTTTTACTGCAGTGTAACTTGTTTGCAGATCTCCAACCTTTGAACAATAATATTTATATTTCAATATAAGATAAGTAGAATATCTTAAAATAATAACATGTTACCTCATAAGCTAAGTAAGCACTATTAAAATGAGGTTCATAAATGAAATCAGCAATATTTGCAGCAGCATGAAAGTATGTTCTGGCTGCTGTCAAATTTCCGCTTTTTATTTGTATGACTCCCAAATTGTTATATGCTAAGGCATGTCTATTATCGCTTATAATAGCAAGTTTTAGGCATTCTTCTGCCATGGTTGTGTCTCCTACCGTCTAAAATTATTTTTAAATAAAACTATCAATTCGTTAAATAACATTAAGTACCGGAAACAAAGAGTGTACATACCAAAGCAATGTGAGAAATATTATACCACACATCTGCTACATTTTCGTCAGTAGAAAGATTAAGTGCTCTTTCAAAGCATGAAATAACGTGGTCATATTGCTGAGAATAAAAGCAACATAATCCAAGATTATTGAACAATTCAACATTGTATACACCCATTTGTAGCAATCGTCTATGTACATAATGAGATAAACTTGTATTTAAAATGACCTGCACCTGTTATCTTTACATTCACTTTTACCTGTAGAAACGTAAAGCCAATTCCGGCTGATCATTATAGAAATGATGCATCCCGATACTAGCTATTGCTTCTGTATGCGAGGCATCCTCTTGAACAACAATCTTATAATATTTTAATGACATGCTCGCATTGTTCAAGCCGTCAAATATACGTCCCATTTCAGTAAGAATATTTACATCGTTAGGAAAATATTCAAGACCTTTTTTACATGTTTCTAAAGCAGTCAGTGGCTGATCTAATCTAATATAAACCCTGATTAGTCTCAAGACGGATTCGATCGTTTTATTATCTTTTAGCGCTGACTTAAATTGTTGCTCCGCGTCTCTTATTAATCCTAAACTGTAATAGCATTTTCCAAGTTGCACTTTCCACCACCAATCTTTGTATTGACAGACCTGTGTCGCTTGAACTGCCAAATCTAGTGCCTAAGTATAAAATATTTTATTGTTTTTAGGCACTTTGAATAATGTATACATACTTACATATCTCACATCATGTTCATGGTAATATATATATTCGAACAGTGGTTTTGCAATATTTGGTTGGCTAGCATACTTTGCAATATTTAAACGAGATAATTGTATAAATGGTCCCCCCGGTTCTGTTAGCATGGATGCTGTGCCTAGTCTATGTAAAATGAATTTATAAACATTTTAGTTTCTACTTAAAAATACAGTAATTTTAAATGACAGTTATACCTAACACTGCGACTAGAACTTGCTGTAATTGGTCTAGCAGTCATGGCAGTTCTTGGTGTTCTTAATGTTTGTTCAAATGATTGAGATATTGCAGATTGTGTGGCTGGTCGTACAACTCCTGTGAGTGGTCTTCCTACAAAACATATCCTTCTTTATAGTTTTTGTAATTCTTCATTAGAATTTGGAGATGTGTTAAAGTGTCTGAACCAAACCTGACTGAGTTTTGGGTCGTAGATATTGTCCTACATGAGCAGTACCAGGATTTTTTAATGACGTTCCAGGTCTAGGCATAGAAGATATGGTATAATTATCTAGTAAGCTTTCAGCAATTCCTTCTTCTTCTCCTTCTATGTCATCTACGTATACTTGTAATGTTAAGGCACGCATTTTTAACACCCAGACTGCCTGTAATAGAACATATTGTATAATAGTAAATATAAGAAATAATTACTTAAATGTTCTTATACCTGATCTAATGGATTTTTTCTTAATAAATCTGAACATATTGCTGCACATTCTTCATACTTTCCTCTACTGAACAAACTTTGAGCTTTGAATAACTCCATAAATTCACTTAACAAAAATCTGTAAAAAACTTAGGAGAGTTGACTAAATTGTAATAAAGAAACTCAATGTTTCAGAATATCATACTATTGCACCTGTCTACATCTAAGTACATTGTACACAAACGATTTTTCCTCCTTTGATGGTATTGATTATTTAGCTTATAACCCTGACTGTATGAAACATAAGTCAATCAATGTTTTTCTTGTATTTTCAGTTAAAGTATACAAAAATTATACTAGATAATAGATCATAGAAACAATAAGAACAGAAATAAATACAACAATAATAATATTAATTTTATTATTAAACTATCAAGTTTTATACATTAATCATTTTTTTAATACCAAATGTTTATGGTAATGAGTCTCTTTAAAGAAGTAACAAAGGACTATCATTTTTCTTGTAATGAATCTTCTTATATATAACCAAATTTTAGGAAGATTATAACACATTACTCATACATTTCTACAATATACTTCATCATTTTTCATGTTATAGTTATACATATTACATAAATTGATATTTAAGATAATGGAAGACTTTGATGTAAATGATGTTAGGTTTGTATCCTTTCATGTAACATTAATAAAGTATTCTACAATTAAAAGAATGTACATTAAATTTTTGTTTAGCATTAACCGAGCATTCAATGATTTCTTTAAGAAGAAAACTATAGAAGAACAATGCACAGAACAATCACTGATGCGTCTACATGAAGCTTTTTTGGTACATTGATAGATGTTAATTAATGCCACTACATTTTATAAATTAATAATTTTTTACAATTAATACATTTTTTATAGATATCAGAAAATGAAGAAATGAACATTTCACAACTATACAATGCTTTTCAACATATACTGCAAATTCCAATAACTGATAAAGAGTTTGAAATTTTATTTAAAAAGGTACAAGTTCCAGAAAAATATTCTATACTCTGTATAATTATCATTGTATTTTATACTAATTGCAGATGAACAGAAAAAGAGATGGAAACATTACATGGGATGAATTTATTTCATACTTATTAGTAGAATTCCAAAAAATAGATACTGCCCTACATTGGCAGATATTACAACTTCCAATAACAGGCACTCCTCAACTTATAAAATCATATCATCGTACACCTATATATAAAATCGTATTTTGTCCTGAAATCCTTTCTGTACAAACACAAATATTTTAGTAAACATATAGTGTTATAAAATTCATTTAAATGGCAATCTTATCCATACATATCAGTATTATTGTTTTCATTGTTTTCCCAGGATAGATCTGGAGGATTTGAAAAAGGATGTTACTTAACAGTTACTAAAGAAGGAATTATAAATTACTGGTCTTTGGACTTGAAATACGAACGCAGTGTACAATCTACGAGTCGTTAGTCTTTTCATTCATTACTACTCCATTTCTTTGTATTTCTCTTATAAATATTCAACACCTGCATTTTTCACAGCTTACCTAAAAGTTCAACAAACATTAATAACTGACATGATAGTAATGCCTGATGTGCAAATAGTATGTACAAGTTCTACTGAGTGTGATTTAAGATTTTACGACACTGTGGCTAAAAAATTTGATCTTCGAATGGTGGTTTGTTAGATTCTTAGTAGTATTGATGAGTTTTATGAGTGATACCTTTTTTCATAGCAAAAACAATGCATAGATATCAAGTATGGAAGGAGCAGTCACTTGTATGAGTTATTACTTCAGTAAAAATATCAAGGAAGACTCCTGTGTTGTACTTGGAGACATGAGTGGATCTATTAAACTAATTTCTTTTTGTCCTGTGGATAGAGGCCCATTTAAACAAGAGCCACAACGTGATGTATTGTTCGTTCGTTACGAATCTGTTCTGAAAGCAAGTTATTTGTACTTCAAGTATTTATTACCAATATATTCCCATTATTATAAAATTATAAACACTATATTATAGGGTGAAATACCTGGTATGAAAATTGTAGAGTTTAAAAGAGCGCATTCAAACTGGGTGAAACAAGTAGCTTACTATGGAAGTCTCAAATCTTTTATGTCTTGCAGTAGATGTTCAATTTGTTCCTTATTATTTAGCGACTTCACAGGAAAAAGAATGCAATATAAATTTAAAGTTAACATGGGAATAACTTGTTTTACTGTCTGTGAAGGTATTTTTTATAATAAAAGTTTGAAACCTTTGTTTCACCATGATATCTTAATATTCCTGCAAATACGAATATTTAGAGAGTCAAACATTAGTGACTGGTGGACCTGATTGCATTGTTCGGGTCTGGAATCCTTTTGTGACAAAGCGAGCAAGTTGCATTTTCCAAGGCCATCATTCACCTATATGTGGCTTAGTAATTCAAAATAGTGGTAAGCGTGTATACTCTCTGTCGAATGATAAATGCATCAAAGTGTGGGATGTATTGGCTCAATCGTGTATTCAGGTCTGAAAAATAATTTTGATAAAGCATAAGTACTATTCACAGTTTCAATACTCTAAGATGTAACTAGGATTTTGTTCTAATTTATATAGACGTATAACGGTCTTCCAAGTGAATTAGGTGAACATACATTAATGACTATAATTTATAATTCACTGAATCATAAAATGATTGTTGCTAGTGTAATGATTGCTGTAGTCATTTGCGATCCTGTTATCAATAAGGAAACATCAGATGGCTATACTCATACAAAACCAGTTAGCTGTGTTCTATACAATCATCTTTACAAAGTGGTACTTTTATATTTACCTCATAGTCTTATAGTCTTGCATATCCTTACAAAATTATGAAATATCATAAATGATATTATTAAACTCCTTATAAATTCAGGTAGTTTCCATTGGATTAGATTCTTGTATAATAATGTGGGACCCATGGCTTGGGACTCGTTTGTATTTAATAACACATGCTCACAGCCAGTTTTTGTATGGTCAGTATCATGATGTTGAGATTACAGCCGCTTGTTTCGATGAATCTGACCAGTTACTCGTAACTGGTGCTCGTGATGGCACATTGAAGATTTGGAATTTTAACACGGGTACCTGTTTAAGAAATATGGCGCTTGAAAAGAAAACGTACATGTTTATTTTATAACAAGACAATGTTGGATGTATTAAACTACTATTATTTTTACCTCTTTTATTTAGTGAAATAACAAGTTTAGCTTGGGTGGAAAACCGAGTTCTATCTGGTGGTTGGAATCGTCAAGTCATAGAGTTTGCAACTTCTGATACAAATATATTTATAAAAAGTTGGGGTGTAAGTCATACGGATAATATTCTTTGTTCAGCTATATGGTATCCTCAGGTGCTGGCAACAGCATCGCATAATGGAGAAATAATACTCTGGAGATTGGAAACAGGTCAACCATACAGAAAATATAAAGTACAGGACCCAATGTCCAGGTGAAAAACTAATCAGTAAGTTTTCTCTGACAGTATTATATTTTAAATTATGTCAACACCTTTAACATGAAACAGATTTAACGTAAGATACAGAAAAGATGAAGACAGTGCTAAATCTGACAATTATCAGGAAGTTATAAAAAGACAAAATTATCCTGACAAGTAATGATATTATTTTGATAATGTAAATATGTATGAAACATATAAATACATGTAAAATTTATTGTTATTTATAGACAACATAGTAGAGTTTGTAAACATCAACAATCAGCGTTAAACATTATACGAACCGTTGCTGTACGAGCCATGATATTTTTAAATACTCGACCATCCAAGCCCAATATTGGGACGTTATTTGTTTCTCTCGATTCTGGTTTAATACAAGTCTGGAGTCACCACCCAGGGGGTGGATTTTTGGAAGCTTTCTCAGTGATTCATAGCGTTGGCGATTGTGCACTATCGTTAGCAACAGATTCTAAAGATCATTTTCTTGTAACAGGTAAAAGAACGAACATGTCTTCACAACAAAATTTATTCATTATAAATTTATATCTCAGTACTTCATAATCTATAAACACTGTAATGTACAATGGTAATTGCTCCAAGATACATAGCATACAACTTATCATAAACATTATAATTTGTCAATTTCAAACTTACTTATATTGTAGTATAGTATGTGAAAATACAATACACTTTTAAAATGTATTATTTTGCATTAGAATCGAGAAAATAATCTTAGTTCAAATGATTCAGGGCACAATAGGGGGTACATTAAAGTTTGGTATCTTGCAAACTATTTGATACCAGATTCTCCGAAGGTGTGTATGCCCCTTTTAAGACTGGAGTTTCCATTTTTATGGAAGGATAAAATTAACGGAAGAGCAAAAAGAGCAATTAAGGATCAACCTTTGCCAATTTTGCTCACTTCCGTACGTGGTCACATAAAATCTGTTACGTCTGTGCAAGTAATTTCTAATGCACATATTATTGTTAGGTAATTTCAATTACTTAATACTAATTTCTAATTACCAATTTAGCAAGCAATTATAAATTTGCATTTCATGTGTATCTGGGTCCGTTTCATAGGTACATGCATATGCTTTTATAAAAATATATTATTCCTTATTCCATATATTCAGACTGGTTTATTAACTTATTTGGTAATATTAAAATGGATTAAAAAATACTTTCGATCGTACAATTGTAGATCAAAATTTTTGTATAAACTTGTACATTTTGGAAGATGTTCATTGTTTCAAGTGGCAGTACGGATTGCACGGTACGCTTATGGACACTAGGGGGACGTTACATATCAACCTTTGGGACGTTCAAATCATGGTCACCAATTTTGCCTACGATCCCAGCATACAAATATTTCAATAACTACAGATTTCCACCTGATGTTGCAAGATCTGCAAGTTCTACTACTATGAAAGTAATTGTATATCTTTAATACTGCGTTGGAAGAAAATCTTAAGTATTTCTTTGTATTAACGTATAAAAACAAACAGCTTTTAGAAGGAGGGATTAGGCAAGCAATAACTAAGCCCAAAGAAGAAGTTTCCGATTTTGTAAAGTCTGTGATAGGGGAACGTAAAGATACTATGATAGATGGGAGAAGACTTACAATTTCAACCATGGATAAATCAGTCATGATGATCTTTTTAGATTATCCAATTCTGGACACTTCTATGTCATATGTAAATGTACCAAACAACTAGGAAGTCTAATTTTTAAAAATTTAACAACCGTTCTTTTATTAGAAATTTGTCAATATCTTTTAAAGCATATTCTTATGAAAATTCTGGTTTTTAGATACCTATATATACACACTTAAAATTAAAACCATTGGAGACTATTCAAACACCAACGTTACCGTCAATTTTACAGAGACAAAAAGAATTGACGTAAGTCATTTATATTCGTTTAAATGTCAAATTATAATTAATAATTATATCAATATATCAATCGTTTTTGAAAAGTTAATTTACGTATGTGCAAAATAATAATAATAATTCTTCCCCGCAGGAAAGGCGGTCGCAATACATAAGCGATATATTAAAGGCTGAAAAATTTCTTAAGTTATCGAATATGTTACAAGAAACAACGTTAGGCATAGAATAATGGAGACAATTAAAATTTTCAAAAATCTATTTCTTGTTAAAAACTGTCGCATTGGTATAATTACTTATTAATTATTATGAACTATTTATATGAAAGTTGTTTTTCTCATTGAGTCTTGTGCAATACAAACGATACATAAATAAAAATATCAGTAAAGCAGCTAAGCCTGATTAAATCGGTAAAAAAACGAGTACATTTAAAAATTTTCAAAACAGCAGTCTTACAGTTGTCTGTGTCATGTAAAATTGAATATATTTTTTTCTAGATCGGTACGATATAATATTATTACTATATTACATATGCTATAATATGGTATTATTAGGCACTTTCATTTTTAAGGCGTAACATGACAAATTAACAATAATACATTTAATAAATTATACCTTCTCTTATTCGGCTTCCATCATGGAATAACGTGGCGGTGTTTTCCAGATTGCACTGGATGTACGTTTCAATCTACTTCTGTCTATACCTTGGAATAATTCAGTCAAGTCAGGTGTACACTTTTTAGAGTCGAAGAATCTGAGGATTGCTTTCGCCGGAATATATCGTTGTATTGCCAGATGCGTTTTACGTACATGTGCTGTAAATGAATTGAAACGTTTACATTTAAAATACCTGTACTTATTTCAAATAATTTGTAAACGCACGAAGCGAACGAACTTACGTTGTGCCCAATATGGGATTGCGTGCTTTGGTCTACTCTCATCATCTGATTCATCTTCATCGGGTTCACTGTCCAAAATATAATTTGTCGGACCCTGATGTTTATTTCCATATTTTGCCTAAAAATTCATTAATATTCAAATAATACACCGGATGAAATATATTCTAAAAATATACAAATTCCTACCTGCGCATTAAGCATTTGATGTTTAATTCGCATTGCTTCGGCGTTAGCCTGCTGTTGAGCTCTCGCTTCCAATTCTTTTCGTTTCTCGGCCTCCTGTTCCCGGCGTCTCTGCTCAGCCAATTGTCTTTCTGCTTCTTCTTGTTCCTGTAAACGCTGCAAACGTTGTTGTTCTTCTAGTTTTCGTCTCTCCTCCTTTTCCTACAATTTATCAACAATACATTGAAATTATAGATCTCGTAGAAGTTGCTTCAAGCAAGGATTGAATGTAAAAGATTTCTAACATTTTTAAATGTAACGCGTACCTGAGCTCGTTGCAACTGAGCGAGACGTTTCCTTTCTAATTCCTCGCGTTGCTTTTCCAGCATCTGTTGCTGTATACGTGCTTTTTCTTCTCTTTCTTTCTCAGTCTTCTGACGTCTCTCCGCTTCCAATTTCTCATTGGCCTCCCTTTTTAACTTATTTTTCAATTCCTTTTCTTGCCTTTTTCTTTACACAAAGAATTTATGTTTTATGATAATATTAATTCATAATCTAATATTTCACTATTCATCATTGTTTTACCTTCTTTTTTCTTCTGTTTGAAGTCTCAACGCCTCGTCTCGTTTCTTCCTTGCATCCTCGTCATTCAATTTTCGTTTTTTCTCTTCCGTTTTATCTAACGAATTGCGTTTGCTGACCGGTTTCCCAGACTGAATGAATGACTCGACTGATGTGATGATATTTGAGCGCGTTCCAGTTAATGCCTTATTCTGTTCAAATAGAAATTAATCGTTAAATCATAATTCGAAGTTAATGTTTAAGCTTCATATGTAAAAATGCTTGGTTCTTACATTATGTATAATAGGATTGTTCGCTGGAGTTTGTGGAATACGACTGACAGACATTGGCAACTGAATCTTTGTCTTTGTTAACGGAGTCGTTTTCTGCTGCTGCAGATGGCTTCCTTTGTCCGCAACAAGTAATCTGCTTATTTTTTGAGCAGACGGGGCTTTATTCTGAAAAAACAAAATAATGTGATATTTTCTTTAGCAAACATTTAGCATTATCCAATGAAACTGTAATTACCTCTTTGGAGTCCTCTGTGTGCTTAGCATGTTTTGCTAATGAGATTTTTTTAGCTTTTGCGAGTGACTTTCTTGCTAGTTTTTGAGCAACTGTTTTTTCCGCAACTTTTGGAACATCCGAACCATCTGCTTGTGCAGCAGCTATGGCTCGTGTTTTTGTCCTGGTCACCCTGGTCGGTGCATCAACATCAACAGGAGGCTTTGGACTGTGCATGCCTACCTGCTCGAATGCTTCAACCCTTCTTTTAACAGATTCTTTGGCATAAGGACTGAATAAAGCATTCGACTTGTATGTATTCCTTATTTCTTGAAGACTCATGCCTGTGGTTATATCCTTCAAAGCTGGCTTTGCAGGCGTACTAAGAATCTCATCTTCGCTCGAGCTCATAGATCTCATTGTCCGTTTCTGTCGTTTTTTAATGTCCTGCTTCTTGATGTTTGGTCTATGCTTTTTCACTTCTGGAGATGATTCGTCCTCTGTTATTAATTCATCAAATTCCTTATTTGCCATGGCTTCCTTTAAATGTTTCATCCTGTCTTGTAGGGCTATTGAAGAAGGTGACTGTTGTTTCGGTATTTTAGGCGATTTAAATTCAGGCTGATCTTGATTTTTCCCCTCCTGACTCTCTTTATGCGTACTGTTCATTTTGTTTTTACTAATTGTTACGGTTTCGTTCAATTTTATTGCTGACAAAGGTTCCAAGACCACTGTTGCATTCATCATTTTATATATAACGTGAGTCGAATTCAAATTCATTGTAGAATTCATGATAGGTGTAGGTTTTTCAATTGCATCCTCATACATTGAAGCTTCTTCCATGCCATCTGATTTAGGTGCAATGACCGTATCATTGATAATGTCATGTGTTTTATCATTAGATGGAAGTGATATCTTTTTATTAGAATGCCATGTTGATGAAGACTTTCTTGATGTTTCTAGTTTTTCTTGTTTCACCATATTTTCTTCTGTTATAGTCTGATCATTTTCTCTGGTCTCTTCTTCTGAGTTTTGTGTAGATCTTTGTCTTAGTATACTTTCTTCTACTTTACTATGCTTTGTAGGACCTTGAGTAGACTCTTCATCCGAACTACTTCTTGCAGATTGTTTCCTTTTAGCTCGACTCTCATTTTTTTTCTGGAAATTTAATTATTGTTTTAAACCATTATAAATACAATAAGCAATAGAAATTCATTTATCGTCTTATACAGAATTGCATTACTGCAAATAGTTCATATATAATACAAACCTTGTCTAAGCTTGACGGCCTTCTCAATTTCTTTGAAAGTGACATGGATTGTTGTTTCTTAATACTGTTAGCTGCTTTCTTTGAAGCTGCTCTTCTTGATCTACCAGTTGTCGTTTCTGATACACTTTCTTCAGCATTGTCTGTAACCTCTACTTTAGAATTTTCTATTATTGACTCTGATACTGGGTTATCAACAACAATAACTTCATCCTCTGGAATAGTTTCTATGCGTTTTACTCCTTTCTTTCTTAATACTTTTGGAGTCTTTGTAATTAAAGGACCAGATGCTGATTGTGGTATTTGATCTAATAAATCATGTAAGTAATCCATGGTGGCCTCCACATTATCATTAATAATTTTTTTTACTTCTGTACAACGATTATATATATCTAAGATATCTTTGGCGATCACTGCCTTGATTTTATCTTTGGACCTGGTACCCATGTTCAGAATCTAAAAAATATTTATAGTTTTAATCAAACAATTATAAGTGCATGAATTACCAAAGTGTAACATTTTATATATAATAACAAACATTTATACTCTTTAAAACTTTGGGATTGTTTATATAATAGAGAATAAATTAATATTATTATTAAATTAAATCTGTGATTTTTATATATTAAACTTAAATATTAGAAATGTCTTTCAACTTCTAAGTAGCATTTAGAAGAATTCACAGTATACTTTTAGCTCAGTAAGTGCAATTGACAGATCTAGTTTGCGTAAACAAATGTTTTTACGATAGAATGTAGTGTTGCTTTTTAATAAGTTTTACAAATATAAAAATCAATTGTCAATGGACCACATCTGCGAAAATGCAGCCCAGTATAAATACTGAAATATGTTGAAGCGAAAAAAAGGTGTGACGAACAATAAATTAAATTAAATTCAGGACTATTCCCAAAGATATTCACCTGTTTTTTCAATGGTAAAATAATAAAATAGTAAAATAAAAGTTTCAATAGTAAAGTTACAATTAAAAGTAATAATTCAACACAACTCAATTTCACAACAAAGTTACACCAAGTACACAAAATTAGCACGTTTCACAAACACGATGTACAAAAGCAAAGAGAACATTAACGACAATCTACATTTCTTGCGACTGGCGGGACAGTCAGGGACGGTGCAGGTCTGATCAAGCATATAACGACTTTTCAGTTTAATTTAAATGTACTACATAAGCGCCATCTACTCCTTTAAACCGCCATTTCTTTTATAAATCTTTTAAACATTTTTCTAAATGTCTCATCACTTTCTAACTCCAATTAATTAAAAAATTACTGATACTTCACACAAAAGATTGTTGTTTAAAATGTTGCTCGCAGAATCATACTGTTTCTACATAAAATAAGCGATCATATAAAATACTATAAATAATTGATTATTCATGTCCCTAGAAGGTATAACGTAAATGCAAAATATACTAAAAAATTTTGGTACATCGCGATCGCACCGAAATAAATATAAATATTTGAATGCAACATAATTACAAATTCTAGTAACTTTTTCCTAGGGATAATCGAGCAAAGTCACGTGGTGTTATGGCGAATTCTAATGGCGTATAAGTTGGACAGACTGAATTTATAGTGTAAATGTATTTCATTTGGTACCACTGACACCAAAAATTTCATGATTAATTTCTCTCTAGAAGTAGTGAACAAACTGCGTATACCTGTGCAAGTAAGCATAATTGAGGTGAGTTTCGCAGTTCCGTGGGAGGTTTCTGGAGTTAGGCGAGGGCGAATGTCGAATTTTCTTATCGTGGGACGGAGGTGCGCGTGTCAGGAGACCGCGGGAAAATGAATAATGACGAAGCGACCAGGAAGTGAAAAATGATCGAAGCAAAATGAGGAGAACGTATAACACTGCAGCAGATGTCGGAACGACCGATTCCCTCGAACAAACGAGACGTTTGCACAAGTAATATAAATACATGCGTTGATAGAACAATTCTCGTTTACGTCACCTTCCACGCATTATACTCGTAAAACTGTTCTTTTCCCCGATGCACATCAGATTATATTCGCATATTACCTCGCGCGAACATAACCTAAATCGTTCGTGCATTCTGATCTATCATTGGCGCGCTTTTATGCGCAATCCTTCTCTTGTTTTACCCGGAAAATTTTTTAAACGAACAACCGTGTTATCAACCTATAATTGCTTGGTACCGTAGACCGTTTTTTTAGTCATTTAAAAAGAATTAATTTTCAGCGCGTGGAAAATTTATACGAGTAAAAAATAACCACGTATATCAAGAAAAAAAAATTTGTTTTGTCAGTACACCTTCAGACGTCTCTTCTGTGTTATTCATTGTCTATTTTTATCATTTACTTGTAATAAACATTGATGCATATATATTTTTTGCGACATGATCAATAAATAATTATAAATACATGTACTATAAAATTTAAGTCAGTTTTCCGAATATCACATGTTTTCCAAGATTTTTGTCCATTTACACGAGAAAAATTATTTAGAAATTAAGAGTATGATTTATAAAGTTATCATGATGTAAAACTTAGAAATATTTCATTGATAGGGGTATAACAGATATCGCCAAAAGATTAGATGAACAAACTAGCCGTGCGTTAACAATAACAGATTTATTTACCCCTTCAGGGGAAACACTACGGGTGAAACTAAAAGATTATTGTATAAGATTAAAAACTAAAGATCCTGTTGGATATGCACGTAAAACTGAAGAGTTGTTATGGAGAAAAGCATTTTATGATATTGTCAATGCTGCTAAAAAATTACGGAAGGTAATTGTATTGATGTATACCATGTAAAGTGTCATTAGTTATGTTATAATATAGTTACTACTACATTCATGTATTTTTATGAAAGTACAGTATTGTTTTATTTTGTAATTATAGGGTAGTGTATGGAATGAAACAGAAAAGGCAGTGTTATCTGTTCACTTAGCAGTAGGAGTTGGATTTTACCATCATTTGATATTGAAACTGCAATTAGAATATGGTTTAGACCTACTTGGTGCTATTGATTTTGCATTTACGCTGAATGAAACTGTCTCATCCAATGTAAGCACATTTTCATTTCATTGCACAAAATAAATTATATAATTAACCTAATCCTTCTCATTTTGTATGTTAAGGCGAAAAATAAGGTGAATCAAACTAAAGTTCACACTGAAGAAGTGAAGCAGTGTGTTATTCGTTTAATTCATAGAAGTTTGGTATGTCTTGGGGACTTGGCTAGGTACAAATTAGAATTAGATCCATATTGGGATCCAATGATAGCGCAGAGGTATTACAAAATGGCTATAGCAATTGATCCGAACATTGGAATGCCACATAATCAATTGGGTACTATAGCAGGCAATAAGAATTATGGTCTAGATGCAGTGTATCACTACATCAGGTGTGTCTTGTGTACTGAACCCTTTGAAGGAGCAGAAGGAAATTTGAAAAGGGCCATTGTTACTCATTCTATATGCACAGATGAAAAGTGTCTTACATATATATGTATTTCAAAATTATTTTCTTTATTACAATTATGGGATTACGATATTCCAAATTCTGACAGAATAAATCAGGAATGTCAGGATCTTCTGACCAGCATTGAGACTTGTATGGCCACCGAACAGTCTGAATCGACTGTTACAAATTATAATAAAAATGAGAATAGCATTGAAGCGTACCTTCAGAATTGCAAAAACGAACAAACAAAGTATTTAACAGATGACATGATTTTCAAAATAGTGGCTATATGCCTGATGTCCATTTCAAGATTGAAAAGCAAAGAATCCAGCGAGGTGCAAGGTGTTGTAGCCATAACTTTAGCAATAATGTCTCAAATGATACAGTATACAATAACAAGATTGCAAGAGTCTTTTATAGATATACCGTTACCTAACATAGAGGAAGTTTTACAGTCAAACGACAAATTGTTACAAAAGGAATGTAGTAATAAAGCTATAAAAGAAGAGAACAACACCCTAAAGCAGCGCAATGAGAACAACAATGAAGCAATCTCTGAAGTGAAACATGCTGTGAACAATGTAGACGTTCAGAACGGATCCCGGAAGATTAAAGAAAAGAATAAAAGTTTGCTTACCAAACTCCGACGACGGAAACGAAGAAACAGCAGCGATTCGGATGCAAGTGATGGCGAACAGGCGACAGTTGGATCCTCAAGCGACGAGGTCAATTCAGACGTTTCCGAGACAGAGGACGATGTCTTGAGCGAAGGAAACGTTTTGTCGGATGATGCATTATCAGAAGACGCTTCGGACGATGAAAGCTCGCGTTTAAAAACGAAACAAGAAAAAGCAGACAGTGCTAAGGTAAAAAAAACAAATGGACACGTGGAACACGAAAAAAAATCCGTTATCACCAACACAGCTAATGATCAAGTAAAAAATGGCGAACAAATATCCGACAACCAAACGGAGAAGAAGGTCGACGATAATGTTTCTGTAGTTAATACTGGAAACGGAGAAACGCCTAACACCAATAACGCTTTTGTAGATGGTAATGCATCGTCGGACAGAGTAACGTACATTGCTCAACTAAAGAAGCAGAATTTAAAGGTGGATCAAGTACTGAACATTTTAATTGGAAAGGATATACTGGCTTCCATTAAGATATGTTGCGATTGGTTAAAAAGTAATCTAGATATTATAAAGATATGCGGGAAAAGTTCACGGACTTTGTTGAAGCGTGTTACGATTTTGTTGAATTTAATTAATATAGATATAAACACCGTATTAAAAACATTTAAAGATGATAGTATAATTTTGTCATCCGTTGAGAAATTGAAGGAGTGCGTGATAACGATTCCATTGCCGGAAGACGTCGACTTAAGAGGATTGAGTCTTCTAGAAGACGCCCATAAACCGCTCAATTGGAAGGCGTTGTATAAGTTTAGAATGAACAGACGGGAGGAGACTTTGTTGCGTGCGTTAAAATTAGTCGAATTCGGATATTTTCTTAATTCCGTTGAAGACGCCGGTGTTAAGTACGACCAGGCGAAGCAGTTGTTCGTAACGGTTGAATTAAATTCTGCTAACGCGGTCAAGGATAACAAGGAATTGGAAATGGATCATTCGCGAGGAAAGTTGATGAGACATATGGGGAAGTTATGGCTGAAAGCAGAAGTTTGCGCTTTAGAAAGTCGTTTAAGGTCCAGGTTAATGTCCCCTTACTTGGTACCTGATCATGAAGCTTTAGCTAAGCATACACCTGCTCTGAAGCGACTGGTGTACGCTAAAAAGTTTATTATTGTAATTCCTAGTGTTGGTTAGTAACCTAAAAAGTAACGTGTTCTTTTTACTATTTCTATTACTTGTAGATAATAAAAAAAATCTGTTTTTAGTCGTTTCTGCATTGGACGAGGTAAAACGCATCAGCGGACGTGCGAGAGAAGCAACGCGCTGGTTAGAAGGTCAATTAAAACGTGGTTCAAGATTTTTACGTGCTCAGAGACCACACGAGCGCTTAGCGTTACCGTTTATAAAAGGTCCACGACCAAAGGACAAAGAAGCGTGGTTGTTTTTCCAAATCATAGAATGCTGCCATTATCTTACACAACAGATGAAAGTTGGTATCACTAATGATACCGAATCACCAGTCGTGACCTTATTAACCGGTTGTAGTCCGGATGATAGAAAGGTTCTTACTTTTAGTCCTGATGGATTGGCGAAGAGTGCAGGTACCATTTTTATATGATATCAAATGGGTGTTTTTGTGAATTGATAATTAATTGATAATTAATTGATAATTAACATTAAATTGATTGCACTCTGTGTCAGGTGTCAATATTGAATATATCGAGACATTTCAAACAAAATGGAAGGCGTCAAGTAAAAGTCATGGTTGAGCCTGTTGAGCTGATAAAGATGATCATCATCTACTGCTTTCTCAAACTGACGTGAAAGTAAGAGACTGAGCCCTTCTTGAGAGCTGTGAACACGTTCAGCTGTACGGGCGAGTCTGAAAGGGCTGGAAACCCAAAAAGAAACATCGGCGGTTCTCCTGCGACAAATCAAAATGGAACTAATATCTTTTCCATGGAAGAATTCTAAATAATAAATTGGTTTCCTATTAACAACTCATGCTGTCTTTTACGTTTCAACGAATAATTCATATTTTCAAATATATTTTCTTGTAAACCATCTCCGGGCAACGATCAAATGAATTTACACATCATTTGAAACCCGTTTCGAATTACGATTTAATTGATATTAAAATAAATTTATGTTATAATCAAACAAAAGGGTGTATAGAACTTTTCATTGACTGAAAGTAGCGAACCACTTATGTATGGAATGTTCTTTCACTGATTCGAGAAGTGTACCACCTTGTGTATTGCTATCGCGCAAAACATTCCGTGGGTATTTAGTAATAATTTCGACGAAAGTTGAAGTTAGCATTTTCGAATTTCTAAATTTCAGTATAGAAATAAAATGAAATGTATTTTGCGTATAGATTTTTTACGAACGTGTTATTCGTGCACGACGGTACCTCCATTTCCGATTTCATAATTCTTTCAATGAAATTCATCATTCCTTAATGATACGACATATTTAACGCGTGACGTTACGTGTAACGTCAATGTGTTAGTGTTTTAAAGTTACGGTAGTGGCAGCGCGACATAACCTATTACAAAATGATTCGTGGTTTTTCGTAAATGAGACCAAAACCTATTTAATACGCGAGGTTCTTGTATCGTAATTTTACATTCGGTTAGTTGCCGTTCGGTGAAACGCGATAATCGTTCCTCCGAGGGGACGTGTTGCGTATTATTACGGAAATAAACTATACAGGGGCCCGTTGACATATCGTGTACTTTCTTCATCTCGTGTATTATGGCTCAGCGTGGAATAGCCGCTTAAGTTGACCCCTCTATGTGATCTTTATGATTCCTTGGAATAACTTGTTAACAAAATTCAGCGTAGTTTCTTTGAGAACGGGTTCGTGAACGAAATTCCCGTGGTGCGAAGAAAAAGCCATAGTATATTAGAAAAGCGGTGTGTAATTGGCCCTCGACGAGGGAGAATCGAAAGCGTCGAAAGTAACGAGTCATCTACCGATTCAAGATGGCAGAAGGCCAGGATACTCGAAAGAAAATCACGGTTAACGTCAAAACGCCAAAAGAAAAACAGACCATCGAGATCGAGGAGGATGCTAGTATCAAAGACGTAAGTATACATATAATATACCCGTAAATTTCATTAGCGGCGATATGTATTGCCAATCGTCACGTTTATCATTGTTGGGTTAACTTTATTAACCATTTTCCTCAACGTTTCTAGTTCAAAGAGGCGGTGTCGAAGAAGTTCAACGTTCAAACGGAACAGTTGTGCTTGATCTTTGCTGGAAAGATTATGAAAGATCATGAAAGTCTAAGAACGCATAATGTCACAGATGGCTTGACGGTTCATCTAGTTATCAAAGCACCGCGTACTCCTTCTAATCAGAATCAAGACTCAACACCAACGCAGAGACCGCAAGGTAGGGAAGAATGTTTGTTATTAAAGATTTGAATTCTATTTTAATCCTTAAACTATAAAAGTTATTAACTCTTACATTTATCTGGTTTTATATTTTTCATTTAGCTGACATAAGTGCCAGTCCTTTCGGATTAGGCAGTTTAGGAGGACTGGTAGGATTGGAATCGCTTGGCTTGGGTTCTGGTAATTTCATAGATTTGCAACAGCGTATGCAACGTGAGCTATTCTCAAATCCCGAGACGATGCGTGTGATACTTGATAACCCGTTGGTGCAAAATTTGATGAATGATCCTGAAAATATGCGCAATTTGATAACAACTAATCCCCAGATTGAGGAGCTGATGCAACGCAATCCAGAAATTAGTCATATGTTGAACAATCCAGAATTGTTAAGGTAAATACTGAGTTAATTAAAACGTATGGTAATTATTTTAAGAAAATTCAATTCACTTCTTTCGTTCTATGGGCTATAATGAAGGTTGTATATTTATATCAAAACTTTTTCAGACAAACAATGGAATTGGCACGCAATCCATCTATGTTACAAGAATTAATGCGTTCACATGACAGAGCTCTATCCAATTTAGAAAGCATTCCTGGTGGCTATAGTGCGCTTCGTCGCATGTATCGCGATATTCAGGAACCCATGATTGCAGCAGCAGCCAACGAACGTAATCCCTTTGCTGCATTAGTGGAGAATAATAGTAGCCAAGATAGTCAGACTAATCCACAGCAAGGTCAAGAGAACAGGGATCCATTACCGAATCCTTGGGGTCAGAGTCAGACTAATTCTTCTGATCAACCGCAAGGAAGAGGCCTGTTAGATTCGCCAGGAATGCAAAGCCTTGTCACTCAAATGATGGAGAATCCACAGCTAATGCGAACCATGTTGAATGCTCCTTATACAAGGTCTATGTTAGAAGCCATGGCAGCAGATCCTGCCATGGCTAGCAGAGTGATCGCTGCTAATCCTTTCCTTAGAGGAAGTCCACAGATGCAAGAACAAATGAGAGCTATGATGCCTGCATTTATCCAGCAAATGCAAAATCCACAAATTCAGAACGTCATTACAAATCCAGATGCTTTAGCTGCTATTATGCAAATTCAGCAGGGTATGGAACAATTACGTACTGTTGCTCCAGAACTTGTTGAAAAGTAAGTGGTTATGAGTATCCTCATTTGAAGTTACATTTCTATAGAAAATGAATGTTCTGTTTTAATATTTATATATAAATTTATAGTATGGGTTTGACTGTTCCACCCACGGCAACAACACCAACTGCTGCTACAACAAATGCAACAACACCAACCACACAATCATCAGACACGAATCAACAAGACGCATTCTCCCAGTTCATGGCGCGCATGGTAAATATTTTGTTTATCTTTATAATGTAATACTTAATTTTTAAATATTTCTGATATTATTTTGTTTAGGTATCGGCAATGGCTTTAAATCAAGGCGTAGAAGTGGATGGCCAACCTGTGCCTCCACCGGAAGAACGTTATAGAGCACAGTTAGAGCAACTCACAGCCATGGGATTTGTTAATAGAGACGCTAATTTACAAGGTAAAGATACATATATGTAACTTTTACAATTGTTTTTTTTCTTCGTATTTCCAATATTGATGTGCATTTCCAACTAACAGTTTAAACTTAACGAATTTAATGATATAGTCTCTAATCCGTTATTAAAAGGAAAATTGTTCATCTTTTCAGCATTAATTGCCACATTCGGAGACATAAACGCTGCTGTTGAACGGCTATTGTCTAATGGACAAGTGTCCATGAGCTAACCACCAATATGTAATACTGTTATTCCATTACTATTTTTAATTTTTTCCTTATTTACCTCTTGCAACAGGCGTGGTGAGAGATATTTGAGGTAACTGGCTGTCAGAAAATTATAAACTTCTACCCCAACTCTTGACAGAATACACGCTACTGACTCGTTCAATATGCATTTTTATTTTGGATTCGGCACTTCATCGTACGCGATACGAGAAGTACCGTTATGTAAATGTTTAACTTGTTCACGTGTTTCACTTTCAAAATTTCCTAGTTTAATTCTTTGTTCTGTACGTTTTCCTCGATGTGCTCTAAGTACTAGGTAGCTCTGTTAATGTATTTCGTCGGTGTAAATTTGCTTATCATGCATTCAAGAGAATTATATTGTTAGAATGTAATACCGGGGGGGCGAGGAGGGACGGGAGGAACGGGAGGAACGTGTTGCTCCATCTTCTTTCTTATTGTACATTTTTGGTGTTTCTTAGAAACAATGGAACCTGCATGGAAAATAGATTGCCGTTAAATAAATACAATGCTTCTGGCTTGATCAGTCGAATCACGAATTTTCACGGAGGACAATTATGTTTGCTTGAATGTACGTAATCATCATACTAGTAAATGTACTGCATGGAGCGTTAAATATGTTCGCAACAACAGAAACGAGGGTTACGGGGTAATTATCAATCGCTAAGCAACATTTGGTGTATAGGCATTAAAGATTCGTCGAAGGTTACAAATTAAAGTGAGCCAACGTAAATCCATAGTATGATTATTTGTTCCTCTTTAAAAAGAAAAAAGAAAAAAAGAAAGAAAAAGGAAAATATTCGATGATGCGTTAGCATTTTTCCATGTAAGTTTTATACGTAAGACAGGTGAGAAGGGTAATTCTGTTTGTTTCATCTTTATGCCGACGCACATTGTTTTCTCTTCTTTTTCGTTTCCTTCGTTTTTCTTTTTTATTGTATACGCAATAAAAGGAAAAAAAAACGGTAACTATGCACTACATGTCTTAAGATACAAATTTAGAGATTTGTAGCGTGATGATCGAGAATTCTATGG